CGCACCACCGGCAGTGAGCAGCCACCAAGGCTCAGCTTCAGACGAATTTACTCACAGCAGGGCTTGAGGAAAGGGTCTGGAGAAGCAGAAAGCCTCTGGGACTCCTACCCTGACGAGTGCGTCCCTTCTCCCAGGGTCACCCCGCTGTTAGTGGCTCCAGCAGCCCCAACCCAGCGGCTGCCCCGGGGCCCGCTCGGGTCTCAGCGTTCCGAGCGTCGCCCTGGAACGGGCCGTTGGCGTTGTCACACCGTCATGCTTGTCGGGCGTCGGGCCACCTGTGCTCTGCAGCTCCTCGGAGCAGCGCTGAGGTGATCCTGCTGAGGGCTGTCACGCAGTCTCCGTACACAGGAGCTGCTTGCTAGTACTGCAGTGTTTTCCGAAAACAGGGACTGGAGTTATAGACCAGAGAAAAATTTAACACCTCGGAGCAAAACAAACCTTGAAGTGTCCATCCCAGAGCTGGAGGTTCTCATCTCAGAAACCACTACCTGCCAGACGGGAGTAGGCAGATAGATCTCCTTATGTAATCTCCTCCAGCAAGGGACAGATGCCTCCGCAGAGCGCTGAGCTAGCTCTGCAGCTCGGCATGTTCAAAGGAAAGGGGAAAAGCATTCCCTCTGGAAACAAAAAGGTGTCTTGGAGCTTTTCATCACCCTCATTTCGTTTCCAACTATCTCCAGTATTTTTCTGTGTTCTGAATCGCTTCCAGTTCTCTCACTGCGACCTTTATTTAACGTGATGGAACGGTTGTTCCGTTCCTTACAGAGAGAGCAGAAATCCGAACAGGAGTGTGTTTACTGGGGACGTGGAGGGATGGCAGGGGATAAGGACACTCAAACCTTTCCATGGGACTTGTTCCTGTGTGTGGTGACTGTCACGGGGCAGCGCTGGCAGCCTCAGCTCTCGAGCACCTAAAGCTGGAGGTAGGAAGCGGAGGGCTGCGGAGAATCCTGCCGTGGGTGACTGACCGGGCCTTTTGGCGATGGTACGTCCCCAGGGCAAGCGTGCAGACCCGATGGGTGATGGGCTTGGGCTTTGCCAGTGTGGTGTAAGACGTCTGCATCGTTACATTTCAGTTTGTGAGGGCCGGTAGCCCTGGAAGCGTGAAGCTGTTGAGGGAGCTCAGCTGCCCGTGCCCCCGCGGGGCTGTCTGTGGTTTGCACGAAGGCAGTGCTACGCTGCAGCAGGCGTGCTGCCGTGCAGCTCTTGTGGGAACTCAGACCTACGTTCCTAGAGGCATGGCCGGCCAGTCCGCACGGCGTACGTTGTGCCTGGGGCGTGCGGCAGCGTCAGGCGGTGATCGGGGACGGTTTGATTTGCATTCAGCCCACGACGTGGTCGTGCTGCCAGAGGGACTGTGGCTGTGATGCAGGTGAGAGAAGGGATCTTTCAGAGGAGGCAGAGCAGCTCATTGTCACCTACAGTCGGTATTTACGTCCCACTTAGTCCTTGTTCCACGTGTAAGTGCAAAGCCGATCTGGGAGAATTTTGCTTGCACGGGGGTGATCTCTGCCCAGCCAGCTTGGGAGATTTTGAGGTTCTTCTGCAGAGGTTTGGTCACCTGGAGCTACCCAGACGAGAATTGAGGTGGGCAGGAGCTGTCATCCCAGAATAATAAGCAGAGCATTCAGACTGAGAGGCACTGGAACAATACCAAGCCCTCCTGAGAGCAACTGCCCTTGCCTGCCTCTGGCAGAGGTCGGAAGCCCTCTCCGGCGTTTGCCCACGCTCCAAGCTGCTCAGACCCAGGATCCCCACGCACAGCAGGGAAGCAGGAGCTGTTAACACTCTCCAGCTGACAAGGGTTGCGCTGGGACCGATTCTTCCGCTCTCTCCGTTTCAGGTCCTTGGTTGGCTGCGCACCAACCTCCAGCTCGGTGATCCGTTCAGCCCCAGCTGGCACCTTGCCTGGCTGGTTCCTGCTGGCTCGGGATGGGGCTGACGGCACAGCCCCGTCCGTGCTGCTCCAGCCCACCCGGAAGGACCCCGGATGGCCTGCCCGGGGCTGCGTGTCGCTGCAGGTCACTTCCTGTGAAATAATGAACACTTGCCCTTCAGAGAACCGAGAAACAGGCCATCATCCCTCTCCTCTGCGGGAGGGATGTGCCCTCTCTCTCTCTGCCCCGCCGGGAGATCCGTAGCTGATTCCCTGAAACTCGTAACTCCCCCCAGACGCACCCCCCACGGCAAGCTTGCCGTGTACGCAGGCATCACTACCCCTCGTAAAACAGGCAAAGCAACAATTCCAGACTCTAATGCCAGCACTAGTCCCCTCTGAAAATAGAAACAATCCGTGAGGCTTACTGCGGGACAGTTATCCATCTTATTGATTAGCCCCTGGATAATGCGCTGGGTTAAGCTGTCTCTCAGCACTGCGTGAGGAGTGAGGACTGGCCAGTAACTCGCCGCCTGATCAGGCGTTAGCTGACGTTACCAGCAGAACGTGGTCGGGGTTTTTCTTCCCTAGAAAAGGAGCTCGTCGTCCTGACTCCTGCTGCTTTGGTCTCCCGCAGGGACTCGACTGAGCAACCTCCTTCCCTCGTTATAAAATACATCACGTAAGCTCTTATCCTGAAGAGTGATCAAAGTTATTTGTCAGTTCAGTTATGAAACTGTCCAATTATAGAGAGAAGGGAAAAAAAAAATCTCCCAAACAAACCGCCCCTTACGTAAGTGTTTTCCATCCTGGAGCTCGTGGAATGGTAGTCGTGGAGCTGGGTTTCCAGCACTCGGCAGGCAGAGCAGGGGTGGAGGGGTGGGGGGGGCTTCTGGAGGTAGAGGGGAGACTCTTCACAAGTAGCGCAGCGGCGGGAGTAGCCAGTGCTTCAGGGACAGCCCCCGGGGGTGCGTTAACCCACTTTCCGAGCGTGATGGTAGCGTGCTGGGGAGATCCTAAGCACAAGGACAGGCTGGG